CTAGTTATCTATATAGAACTGTTATTTATTATCTAATTAAAATTCTGACTCACTCTATGAAGACAGAACAGATTTGTTGGCAATCAAATTATTTCATAGTATACATGAACTCATTTATATCTCCTTTGGGAAATATGAAAGGAATTATATTTTCTTTTAGATTCTGTGTGATACAACATTCAATCCTTTTTCAATTCAACAAATGTTTATGAGGTACTAGAGATACTCATAAGACTAGGGGCTCTATGCCTAGCATCTAGCCTACTCTGACAACATCTCAATCTAGCTGAGGGCTACTAGGATTTAGAAGGGTGGCTCCTATCTAGTGATTTCTTTATCACTGAACTATAAGTTTTTGATGACCCAAAATATATTGAACATTTGAACTGAAAGTTATTTCATTAAAGAGAATCAACAGGTTGATCACAACCAGAGAGGGAATATTGTTTCCAAGTAATTGAAAGGGCATTATCCTGTGATGAGTTATAAAATTTGGTGTGATTTTGGGATAAAGATTCATGCTTAATTAGATCATGAGTGGGTGAGAATGGGGACTGAGCAGAAAAAAGAACCTTTCTGGGTAATAGTGATTATCATCCTATGAGGGATCTGGAAGCTTCCATTAAGTCTAACTAGAGAAGGGGGGGGGGAGAATGTGTGGATCAGAAATTGGCTTTGGAAATTGATTTCACCTTGTATTGTGGATGTGGTTGTGTAAATGTAGTATGTGGGAAATTAATAAATTCTAGTCATGTTGTTTCAGGTTTATAGAATAGATTATGTATCTTGGCCTGCCACTTTCTTCTAACCACCTCCACCTTGTAATCAAAGAAGTAATTCATGTCTGACTCAATTACAAAAACAGAAACTCTATACTTGGAGAGTCTCCTTAGCAAATAAAAACGCCTAGGGAAAGGGGTAGTTTTGGCCTCAGAATGAGAAGTGGCATTGGGAGGCTATTTTACTGCCAAAAGAAAGTTCCGTAACTAAACATCCTTCAAAATCTATTTTTTAAAGGACATCTGAGTTGGATATTCCATACACTTCCCTATTTCCCTATTCACCTATTTCCAGGTCTAATAATCATCACTATCACCAAAATCTTTCTAATGACTAATTGATAGCCTGTGTGCTCCACCTTATGCCCATTTCCTTCAGTATCTTTCATTTCATAATCACATTTGCTCTTCCAATTCACATTTTAAATGAAGACATACAGGTGACAGTGGGAGAAACATCTTCATTTTAACATATAGGAGATGATGACATTTTAATGACAATACTCATAGAATTTTTGCAATATCTCTTTCCATACTCCCAAGCGTTGTCTGGAATTTTGTTTTACAAATTAAAGTGAAGTTAATATTGTGCCAGAGTAGCAGAGTTTCAAAGATGAAATCAGTCCTTGCTGCCATGGAGTTTACAATCTAGGACTAGCAATCACTGTTCAATGGACTTTCTGTAGTATGAGGCTCTCTTTACAACTACACACTGCATTTCCTTTCCAATCATCATCATCATCATCATCATAGATCAAAGATGTAGAGTTGGAAGGAACCTAGAGCTATCTAGCCCAAGCTCTCACTTTACAGATGAAGTCACTAACATCTAGGGAAGTTAAATAGCTTGCCCAAGGTGGCACAGATAGTGAGAGGTGGGTTTTCAGGTCCTCTTTTATTCTTCAGAGTTGTTAACTCTTTTTACTTGAGTTAGCACCATTTGTTTATAGGTACGCTTCAAAAGCTAATGCATTTTAAAGGAGACATGTATGTTTATTGAGTATTTATTACTGTAAGGGAGAAACTAGGTGGCATGGTGGATAAAGTGCTGGGCCTGGCATCACGAGGGCCCAAGTTCAAGTCCAGCCTCAAACACTTACTAGTTATGTGACCTTGAGGAAGTCACTTAATCTTATTTGCCTCAGTTTCCTCATCTGTAAAATGAGCAGAAGGAAATGGCAAACTACTCCAGTATCTTTGCCAAGAAAACCCCAAAAGGGGTCACAAAGATTTGGACGTGACTGAAATGACTGAACAACAACAAAAACTATGTGTAAGAAGCTGTGCTAGGTGCTGTATTTTATTTTAGAGGCTTTATAGATACGTAAATAAACAGTAACCTAACCCCTTCAGAAAACCTGATCTTACCATGCCATGCATAATGATATTATTATTAATTAATTTATATACCACTTTATAGTCTGCAAATCACTTTTAAAATATTATCTCATTTTGTATCCCCATTTTACATATGTTGAAACTATGGCAGATAGAGGTGAAGTGATTTGCCCAGGGTCACACAACCAGTAAGTATCTGAAACTGGACTTGATCTTGGGCCCTCCTGACTCCAGGCCCAGCAGTCTCTCCACTGTGCCACTTAGCTGTCCCCTTGTACTGTAGTAAATGCTCAGTGAAGATATATGTTTGCTTTAAAATACATTAGTAAGTGTATGACTAGTAGTTAAGACAACTAGTAAGTGTCTGAGGCTGGATTTGAACTCGGACCTCCCTGACTCCAGATCTAGAGCTTAGAATCGTTATAGATTCTGTAGATAAGTCTTGGAATCATTATATTCTAATAATATGTAATCTCATGTTTCTTTGGCCATTTCCACTTCTTAAAAATGTTTCTTTTATTTTTTTGCCTCACAATCCCAGTTTGTTTTGAAATATGGTTGAGATAGTAGATTGACATTTAAATATTAATTTTATAAGTGACTGGAGCCTCTTTTCTCAGTGTCTGGATTCTTCCTTTACTTTGTAGCTTTCTGAAAAAAAAATCATATCATTTTGGGGTCTTTGCAGCAAAAAGGAAGTTTGCCTCAGCTCAGTGGAGGCTGGACTGTGAGTAACTTTCTGTAGACACATGACAAGGTTTAGGCACCTATTTTGTTAAAATTACTTATATTATCAAGGTGATGATGTACCAATTCTTTTCTATATGCTATTCTTGTTAAAATATTTTTGGGGTTCATGCACAGTAATTATGCTTTCAGAAAGGGCTTAGAGAAATCATGAACAAAGTTTTGTTTTTTAGATTTTTGCAAATATAGCAAGAGTGCTATTGGGAAGTGACCAGTTATTTTCACTGTGGCTTTGGGGAGATGGGATTGGAGAAGAATGTGTTGTTTTTATCTTCTGCATAATACAGAACATAAATCACATAAATGAAGGTGGAGGAGGTGACTTAGGTGATTGTTTATTTCTAGAAAAGAGGCTACTTCCTATGGAAAGAGGGCTTCAGTTGGTCATGGAGCAAACCAAACAATTACTCAGGTTTCCTGTTGGCTATTTCCCTTTTGCTAAACCTGACCCAAAGCCAAGGTGCACATAGATAAATTTTTCCTATTGCAAAATACCAGATCTCTGAAAAGATATTATCATGAAAATATTGTTTAGAAATAGCATCCTAAGGGATATAGTTTGAAGGATATTTGCTGATTTGCTTTTGAAGGGTCTAATAAGATCTAGAGTTTCTTGAAGCTCTCAAATCCCAGATCCTATGATCTGCTATGGAATACTAAATCATAAGGAAAAGTAAGCATCTGAATGTAAAAGTTTGATAACATTGTAGTCACTTCTAATTAAATGAATTGTTCATACCCTTACTTAAGAACATCCAGAAAAGCATAAATCAGCTAAAAGAATGACATTTTTAACTCAAGCACTTCTAGAATATGGATTCAGAAGTGGAAGGAGCTTTAGAGGGGACCTAATTGAACCTCTTTGTGGTTTAGATTGGAGGCACAAAGAAACTGAGCACCTTGCTAAAGGTACCCAGGAAGTAAGTGGCAGACCCAAAATATGAACGCAGGACTTTCGGTTCTAAATCTACTACTCTTTCCAGTATGCAACCTTTCAAATGACAATGTTTTGTAATTCTTTTCTGCCCTACATAGTATCTCCTGCTTAACAGATGTTCTATTAATTTTGAGTTGGTCTGCTCTGCTTTTCCCATTGGACATTCTAGGCTTTTATCATGGGACCATAGATTTAGATTTAGAAGGGACTTTGGAGGCATTCAGTGCAATTGCTTAGAAAGAGAAATTAAGTTCAAGAGGTAAGTGACCAAGCTACTTTGGTAATACAGGGCAGGGGTAAGATTTGAACCCAAGTCCTCTGACTTGAAAAGCAGTGCTCTTTCTACTATGCCATGTGACTATTAATAAAAAATAAAATAGTGAAATTATTTCCTTTGCTTCAAGATACATGGTAGGTGGACGATAACGATATCAACCGTTTTATTCTTATATATCAATTCACATGACAAAATAAAAATTTTGGGTTGTTGATGGCTGTGATAGAAACATGAGTTCAGTGATGGTGTTCATAAATTTTTGCTTAACATACATGGACAAACATTTGAATGATTCAGTATATTATGAATATAATATAATATAATATAATTTATATATAATATGTATAATATAATTTATATTGTGGTTTAAAGTTTGCAAAAGTGTTTTACACAATATCAATTGAAAAAAATTGCAGGGTGAACATTTTTATGCAAAACATATGGATAAAAGTTTTTTTTTGGGGGGGTGTGTGTGAAATACTGCCAAAATAATGTTGGGTTTTTAAAGGATCCCATTTTAAAACAAACGATCCTTCAAACCTATGGCTATAGCTTAAGAACCCAAATGGAAACTTAGGTTAATTTTTCCAACACTATATAGTTGCTTAAAATAAAAGAAAAGTGACATAAATCGATTTACCAGTTCTCCTTGGTTTATCAGGCTAAAGGATCTCGCTTACTTCCTTTCCTGAATCTCATAAAGATCTGAGAAGTAAGACTGGTCTCTTTGAACTCTACTTTGATAATTTGTGTCTCTCCTTCCTCCTCTTCATTAATCCTTATGTCATCAGTTATTAGACAATTACAGAACAGTGGCTGAAATACATTTGTCAGAATAAGGAACATTTTTCCCCCTTTCGATTATTTAAGCCCAGTGATGGTCATTGTATATTTTCCGCATGTCACAAAAAGTTGTCCTTACCTGCATAGTGGTCAAACACGGTAGGCACGTACTCCTCTGGGAAGGCGTCATTGGCGTAACTCATCAGTAAGCAGGTTTTCCCCACTGCACCATCTCCGACCACCACACACTTTAGTGGTTTCTTCACTTCCTCCTCGCTGGGGCAACCACTTTGCTCTCGTTCCTCTTTGCAGTTCATTCTTAACTGGGGCTATTCCCGATTCTCCCAAGTTCTTCTAGGAGCGCATGAAGAAAAACCCGAGTGAGCGCCCAGGTTGTGTTTACCCTCACTTAGCTGGGTACTCTTGGCTCAGACTTAACATTTTCCAGGTTGCTGCTGTTTGCCCTCTCACTTTACCATGCTGGTAAAGAAAGGGAATGTCCACTTTGAAAGAAAAGTAAAATAGCTTGTCTTTCCCCTGTCCGTTTGAATCAAGACACCCTCATTTTCCTAGAGATCTGGGTGTTTACTGCGATCTTGAAAGATAGCAGCCTGAAGCTTTCGCTCTTTCCTCCCTTTCTCCAACTTGGCTGGAGACACCAGGGATTTCTTCTAAATCCTTCCCATTTTCCATTTCACATCTAACATGGAGGAAAGCCGGGATTTTTTTTTTTTCAAATGGAGTTTTTCCTTTCTTTCTCCAGCTTACTAAGTGTCAGGAAATCATGGGTTTCCTGCTGCATTCCATATTAGGATGAGTGGGCTGGTGAAGGGCTCCAAACAATGAGCAGTCTGTGTGTGTTTGTACTTCAGAGGACTGTGCCAGGACAGAGAGTCAACACTAGAGGTCCCACTGCGGCCAGAAGTTGAGACACTTCCTCTTCCACTGCTGGAAGGGGGCTGCTCTCTCTGCTGGCTGAAAAAAAAGCTGAGGAGAACAGGCAGGATGGGGAGTGCCGTCTATGCAGAAAACAAGGGAATCAGCTTAATTAAGCGTGAGAGACCACACCACCAAGTATGAGATAACAGATGACATCACCCCAGTACTGACTTATCCTGAAAAGCTTGGCAACTTAAAAAGGGGGCAGTTCTTTAGGCACTTAACTCAGAAGTCTTAAACTTTTCCTCTCCCTTGCCATAAAGGAGAAAACTCTCCAGGGTTATAATTGTTTTGAAGGAAAACTTCATTTTCCTCTCAAGTGTCATAGCTGCAGTGTGTATGTGTGTGTGTTTGTGTGTGTGTGTGAACCAGCTTTATAAATTGCCACACTTGCACTAGAAATTAAAGTTTTATAATCATCACACAAAAGAAATAGATCATTCAGTTGAACTCATCTGAAAAGTAGTTGGCATTTACTTCTCCCTATTAGTGAATAATGAACATGTGTGTCTCACACATTTAACCCATTTGGAGACCAGGTTTCGGATTGTTTCAAATTTCAAATATTGAGATTTTGCTTTGGCATATTGATTCTGGATTCAGTTAGACACAATAAGCATTTATTTAGTGCCAGGAGCTGTGCTAAGTGCTAGGGAATACAGAGATGAAAAGGAAACATTTCCTGCCCTTTAGGAGATTATATTCCTATGGGAAAACAGCACACATATTGATAATCAAATGCAAAATACATGCAAAATAAATACAAAGTTATTTGGGGGGGGCAGTGAGATACAATGCTAACAACTAAGGGTGAGGGGAAGGATCAGGAAAGGCTTCATAGGAGCTAGCATTTGCCTGGCACATAGTAGGCACTTAATAAATTTTAATTGATTAATTGATTGAAAGGACCAAGGGTTGGAGGTGAAGAGGAAGAGCATTTTGGCCATGGAAAACAGCCAATGTAATGGACAGATAGCAGATGGAATGTCTTATTTAGAGAACCATAAGTCAGCCAATTTAGCTGGAACAGAGTTCATGAGGGGAAATGGTATGCAATCATTTTGGGAAGATAGATTGAAAGTAGATTGTGAAGGGCTTTTAAATGCTAAACACAAGAGTTTGTATTTGAGTCTGGAAGAAATAGGGAGCCACCAGAACTTCTTGAGCAGGGGAGTGATACATGCGTTAGGACTGTCAATTTGGCAACCATGTGGAGGATGGGCTGGAGAAAGAAGAGACTGAAGGCAAGGAGACCAGTTAGGAGGATATTGTGAGAGGTAATGAGGGTCTGAACGGGGGTAGTGATCAATCAAATGGAGAAAAGGGAATAAATGTGGGAAATGCTGTGGAGTTGTATCAGCATGATTGGGGGGAGGTGGGCATGAATGAAGAAAATGGGATGACTCCAAGGTTGTTAACTTCAACGCCTGGGAGGAAAGTGATATCCTTAACAAGAACAGGGAATTTAGGAGGTGGGTGAATTTGGGGTAAAAAATAATGAGTTATGTTTCAGACATGTTGAGTTTGAGATGTCAGTGGGACATCCAGGTGAAGATTGGAGGACTCATATCACCAGCTCCAGCAGAGAATTGGTGATATGAGCCTGAAACTCAGGAGAAAGACTAGGGCAGGATATGTCAACTTTGGAGATGCATAGAGATGATAACTGAACCCATGGAACCAATGAGATAGCTAGATAGAGAGACAGAGAAAGAGAAGGAGAGAAAAAGAGAGAGGGAGACAAGAGAATGGAGAAAGACTCATAGAGAGATAGACACGGAGAGACAGAGACAGAGACACAGACAAAGTGAGACGGACAAACAGACAGATAGAGACAGAGAAAGTAGATACAGATAAGAATCCGGCAAAGAAAACTGAGCAGCCATGGTCAGAGGAGAGCCAGGATTGAGCAATGTTATTAAAACCCAGGAAGGCATATCCTTTGGTGTCATGTTGCAGAGAGGTCAAGAAGGATGAGGATTAACAAAAGGCAATTGTATTTAGCAATTGAAAGATCACTGGTAACCTTAAAGCAGACCTGCAGAACTTGGCAGTAGGTAAAATAGGCTAAACTTTGAGCTGCAGATAGGTCCTTAGTGGCTCACTTTCCAAGTAAAGATACAACTAATGATTAAACCATTTTACAAATGAACCATATTAAAAAAGAGAATTTTCAGTTAATATCAATTAATCACACTTATTACTTAAGATTTTTATTTACCATGAAATTGCTCTCAGACTAGAGACAGACTGATGATGGCTGGTTGCCGTGGGTCACGTGACAAACAGGAGAAAGTGCGCGGTGGCAACCCACCCTCCAACTTACAAGACGGGCACAATAGTGACTAGTGGAAGGTAGGTTAAGAGGGGCCTGGACAAAGCACTCATTGCATCTTTACTTTCTTTTACATCCTCTACATTTTATCGTGGGTGCCTGAAATCCTTTGGCAGGACATAAGCAGCCCATGGGCTATATGTTATACAGGCCTGCCTTAGAGAAAGCTGTTTCAGTCAAGTGGTGAGGAAGGAAGTCAAATTACAAGGATTTAATCCTCATCTTTTCAGGTCAGCCTGGGCCTCTACTAGTCTTAGCCAAGTCGATAGCTGATGTGGAGATCTGTTGGAGTATGGTCAATGATGCCTCCTTTTTCTCAACATGTAACTAATGTACTTTATCTCATGTGAGAAAATAAATAGAACTCAGGGAATGACTTCAGCAAACAGTTCTGATATCATTTTATTCTTCTGTACTTTTCTTTGAAATTTAATTTTTAATTTAGATATCTTTTAGCTTCTAATATGTACTATACATACATATGTATGCATATATGTATATACATTGATTCATGTGTATATTCTTATTAGTACCTATAAATAGTCTCATTTTTTTCTGGTTTTGGCATCATGCTGTGTCAGAAACTATGAAAAATAGCAAAGCATTATACATTTCTTAACATTTTGGCCTGAGAAGGTCAGCATGCTGATTCATGAGGTTGTCTTTAAAGTGAATTATATGTACCATTTCAACATTAATCTTTCAGAGTTAATCTCAGTCACCGTAATAGCAATTTTCTTTAAGCTAATGATAGGCAATATGATTCTTACTAAGCTAGCTGACTTTAAAAACCAGAAGAATAACACTAAGTAGTTAGATATGTTTTACCCAAGGATAGCTATGTGGCAAAATAGATAGAATACCAGGATTGAAGCCAGGAAGACTCATTGTGATGGGTTCAAATCTGGCCTTAGACCCCTACTGACTGTGTTACCCGGAACAAGACACTTATTCCTGTTTGCTTTAGTTTCCTCATCTGTCAAATGAGTTGGAGAAGGATATGGAAAACCATTCCAGTGTCTTTGCCAAGAAAACCCCTGATGGGGTCATAAAGAATCAGAAACGATTGAAATAACTAAACAACAATAACAACACACCTGAAGGTTTGCTTCAGCAGAGCCGGAAACAGTACCCAGAGTCACTTGTTAACATAACATGGACCAAGTGACTTTGCTTTTTTTGCTCTTGGGGCAATGAGGACAGTTGTTATGATTTATGTACCATACACATACTGATCCTCCCAAATTATTTGTTTATCTCATGTCATACACAATGATGGGGCTACCCTACCCTTTTCACTTTGTGCATACTTACCCAGGCTGTGAGGGAAGTCTTGGATGCAGTTTTCTGGGATTCCAGAGGAATCCGTTTCCTTAGCGATTTATCTCTCTGAGTTTTGACTTTATTTGAACCTCCCCAGACACCAATCATATATTTTTGCCTGGAATACTGATTCCTTTAGTTGCTTCCAGTTTTGATAGTTTACCACTAGAAGTGACATACTACCCTTCTGCCTTCTGCTTCTGCACCTGCATTCAAAAGTCTGACACAGAAGTAAGACAATTGGAGTAGATATTCACATTCTTCTTCAATTTCTCTCTTCAAGGGGCTGCTTTGAGTTCAGACCCAGTGATATTGGCCCACTTCCAGATATTAAGCAGGTGGGGATTGCAGAGAGGTAGATTTGGGCCAAGGCAATTCTGGTGATAATGAGGAACTTCAAGGTCTCCCATGTAAACTCATGTGATACTTAGAGTACTTCACAGAACCATTGGTGCACCCCAAAGTAGGCCTGAAGCTCAAGTTTAGTTGTGAATCTTCTTTTTTCTAGATGTAAAATGGGAACCCTAAGTAGGGACTAAGTCACCTTCCTAGGAGCAAATTTCACTCAAAGATATTTTTCTGTGACATCAGATTATCTGTACTCAGCCTCTGATTTTTACAAGCCCTTCCTTATTTTCTTGACTGAGACTACTTTACAATTAACTTAGTAGTCACCACTTTCTCCTTCCTCCTTGGAGGACTGACTGGTCTCTTTCTTCTCTTATCAGCCTTGACAGAAAAAGAAGTGAAGAAAGATTAGGCATGGTGCTGAATTTGAGAAAGGAAGATGTGGGAATTTGCAGAAAGAGGGGGTGAACAAAGTGGCTATTAACTTTGACTGTCGTAGTGAATACTGTTTGAGAACCCCTTATCAAAAATGAAATAAAATCATAAAGCTCTTAGCATAGTGCCTGGCACATAGTAAGCTACATATAAATATTATTATTATTAGAAACATAGGTATTTATTTGTGGGTTCTGCTTAAACCTGCCCAATAGAACCTCCTCATTTGTAAGAAATGCCTAGACTCTCTAGGTTGCATACCAAAGAATGACTGAAAAAAAAGGACTGCCTAAATTGGTTTCAAAAAGCCTCCAACTGGCAATGAGTTGTTGTTGTTGTTGTTTGTTTGTGTGTGTGTGTGTGTG